TTATAATAATTTGGAGGGAAGGGGGTTGCATATTCCATTTCAAGGGAGGCTCCTGCAGACACCTGTCTTTCAAACCACAACAGTAGTCCTGCGAGGAGCAGGGAGATGGACTCAATGATCCTTACAGGTCCCTTCCAAATTAAGGTATTCTTTGACACTATGATGGGAGTGGTTTGAAGTATGACTCCTTTATCAGCAGTTGGACAGGAATGCTGTGTATAGTTTACCCTCCAGTCTCCCTTTAAGAAGAATGAGTTGAGGGATTTTGAGAGCTCTCTTTTCTTTAAGGGGAAAAAAAAAAAAAAAAAAAAATCAACCCCCCCCCAAACTCTTCCTTCTTTGGCTCGTTTTATTCCTTTCTCCCTCATAAGGTCAAAAGGCATTTTACGCCATTTTTCAATGTTGTCCTTCATTTTTCTTTCCTGATTCTGTATCCACAGATTTACAAATCACAATCACTAGCGATTATGACACATCAAAATTCGGTTAAGACAAACAGAATAAAGAATAAAATCCTTTATTCAACCAGAAATGTAAATACCGATATGAAATTGGATATTTTTTAATTAATCAGGCTTAAAGCCATGCAGAAAATAAATAGGAACTGAATAGCTGCAATGCATAATTGTGTTGAATTTAGCTGTTCAAGACTAGCAAACTGTCTTAAGAATCCTAACTTCAGGGAGATGGAAAATTTTTGATTATTCAAAAGCAAATGAGATTTACAAGAAGAATTGTACATGTAATAAACTCTTACCCCCTTTGGCTCAGGCACAATCAAATGAGTACACTTATTATTGAGGCTCAGCTGGCAATTCCCTCCATAAAAAGTAATCAAAGCCCACAGCGTACTTCGGTCTTCAGATGAAACCTAAAAGGAAGGTAAATAAGCCTTTTAGTTCCATGCAACCAGCTGCCTTCTGCTTGAATAATTTTAGTACAAACCATGACATACCGTTTACAAGTCTGGCTAATGTATTACCTATCACTTTTAAATACCAAATTAGCATGAAAGTCACAGAGAAAAAAGGGTGACAAAGAGACGCAACAGGAAAAGATATTAAACAATTATTTTTAACCTGCACAAAAATAAAACTTTTTTCACTCCTGTAAAACTCAACACTAATATATCACTTTCCACAAGAGAAAACAGTGATCAAGCAAACAAAAATTATTTATCTTAGACAACCTGTTTAAATTCATTAAACAGAATTTTAACAAGTAGATTGAATTAACAGCCTGTGTGAACATATGAAGTGGTTATTTCTAACAATTTCTGTCAGGGCAATGTCCCCCTCCCCTGCCAAGAAAGCCACATGTATTTAAGCCATTACCATTCAGAGTCAGTGACAGTGTTACAGGAACAATTTGTTTTAAAGTCTAAAGCACATATATGCATATATTCCATTAGCACCTAGGCCCTGAGCTGGTCTGTCTGCACACACCCTGATCACGGACCTAGAGAGCTGGCTACGAATACAAGCCACTGAAGCACCACCTTTTTGCTCACTTTACTCACTGGCACCCTTGTTAAGGTTTCAGTGCATAAGCAGGTAAAACATGTTGACTGGATATTGTGTTAATGCAGAAACAGAAGAACAGGAACAAGACTTTACAGTCGAGTGTACTCTGCCATTTTAGAATCACCATATGGCTGAATACTGAGATAAATTACTGATTGAATGTACACAGTTTGAAATGTTCATGCCCTCATTTTCAGTGAAAAACTGTCTTAGGTGATAATTCACCTAACATACAGAAAAAAGTCATAGTACAACAGAAAAACTGGTATCTCTCCTCAAAGAAACAAAGCATTGCACACATACTGTACAGTGGAGCAAACTGAAATATGATTCACTTCTTACCTGAGAGAGACAGGCAGTGACTCCAAAAAAGATCTGACACGATTCTGGAGAAAAACCATTTACACTGGAAAGCAGGTGTCAAGGATGTAAAATAATTTAAATGAGAGTTTCCTGAGGGACATTAAAAGGAAATTAAATAGTGTGCATACTAGTTCTGAGATATTATCAAGTATCTGACCATTCAAAAAACTTTTATCTTTAAAAGCATGTTGTCTGTTTCCAATTCCAAATTGTATGCATCAAGAAAAAACAGAGGTGCAAACTGGATCAGGATACCTCTTAATATTACGACCGATTTTGGTAACATTATAAATTTGCCTCTTCCCAGAACATCTCCCTCAGCCCATCTCAGGATGCTTAGCTTATAGGAGTCAAGCCATTATCAAGAGCTTTCTGCCATTATCAAGAGCTTATCTTCCATGCTTAAAAGAACAGGACAATCTGAAGAAGAAATTTTCGCTACAGTCAGCAACAGATTATATAGAAGTATTATGATGCACAACAAATTTGATAAAACAAGACTGACCAAAAAAAGCGTGTTTCTTCTAAAAAAAAAAAAAAAGCTAATAGCAGACACCTGTGGGAAAGTTCAAGTGCCTTTTTTGCATGCTTATTAAAAACGACAGCAATCCAGCGGATGACTTCATTTAAAACCAGCATGAATAAAAGCACAGACTTAAAAAGAATATGGGTTAGAATGCAATACAGAAGCCAGATGTTTCAGACATGCCGAAGTTTTGTAACCAAATGGTAGAGTATTTGGTTGAAGATATCTTTTGGAATCTAACCTGCCCTTTGCAATTTCTCTGAGACTCAAAAAGTGGGAACAGTTTCCTAGCATACAGCATGGTTATTAAGTCCACAAAAGGTGCTGAAACAACAAACGTATCAAGGAACAAGCTCATATATCAAGAAAAACACAAACAAAGTAATTATTAGAGAGATTATCTGCAAACAGTAGTAGGCAAGTCAGTATAAGCAAGTGCCCAATCTTCCGGAGCTGATTTTTTTCCTACAGAGATACAACCCTGCACTGGAAGTTGGCTATGCAACAGATACGGGCAGGGGAGTGCAGTCTAGGAGCTACTGCAAAACACAAACTGAGGTAACATCACACTGGGATGTAAAACCAGTTTTCCACCATGCTTTCAAAATTCAAGATCTCTGGTAGTAATGCATATTTGTTTTCAGATGCATGAAAGAGATAAATGAAGCAGTATGTAAAAAAGAGCAGGAAAAATTTTTACAGACCTAGTAAATATGACTTACAAGAAGAAACTGAAAGACCAGAATTGATGTGATTCAGAAGCTAAGACAACACATATTCAAATCTTTTAAAGGCTGCCAAATGAAAAGAGATGTAGTTTGTCCTCCCTCTTCAGAGTGGCTTGGATAAATCAAAACAAGGTTATGTTTTAAGACTGCAGCATGCTAATGGGGTTAAACTCCAGCATCACAATAGCGAGGCAGTGCAAGTTGACCGAGGCAGTGCAAGTTGACCCGGGAGACTATGGAATCCCCACTACGGGAGGGGCCTTGTGAAACAGGAGAGAGAACGGTGTGACAGAAGTGACCTGGGGAAGACAGATGGACCATCTGACTTCTGTAATTTCCCTCCCTTTTCTACACTTTCACATGATTTTGTGTTTAAGATACATGCACATCTTGTCGGAAAATATGACTACAGAAACAGAATTATAGAATCATTTAGGTTGGAAAAGACCTTTAAGATCATCAATTCCAACCATTAACCTAACATTGCCAAGTCCACCACTAAACCATGTCCCTAAGAACCACATCTACACGTCTTTTAAACCCCTCCAGGGATGGTGACTCCCCCCCCTCCCCCCCCAGCCTGTGCCAATCCCTGGCAACTCTTTTGGGGAAGAAATTCTTCTTAATATCCAATCTAAACCTCTCCTGATGTAACTTGAGGCCATTTCCTCTTGTCCTGTTGCTTGTTACTTGGGAGAAAAGAGCAACACTCACTTCACTATAACCTGCTTTCATCAGGTACTTGTAGAGCAATAAGGTCTCCCCTCAGCTTCCTTTTCTCCAGGCTAAACCACCCCAGTTCTCTCAGCCACTCCTCATACTCGTTCTCCAGACCCTTCACCAGCTTCGCTGCCCTTCTCTGGACACGCTCCAGCACCTCAATGTCCTTCTTGCAGTGAGGGGCCCAAAACTGCACTCAGCATTCGAGGGGTGGCCTTATCAGTGCCGAGTACAGGGGCACGATCACCTCCCTGTTCCTGCTGGCCACGCTACTGCTGATACACATGTGCATTGCGTTAAAAGAACACACTGAGATTTCTGAAATGAAACAAAATTATCTTCCCCCTGCTGTTGACAGACCCATCAGCAATACTTAAATTCTGAGACCCAGGAGAGGCAACACACAGCAAGCTGACAACAAAGCCCAAAGCACTTTAAAACTTAAGAACAGATTACTGCCATTATCCAGAATACTCCAAGAAGTTCAAGTTTGATGACCATCCTAAATTTCACTGTGTTGCTCAGTATCCCATATGAGGTAGAGATTCAGTACTGAATCTTTCAGAAGTGTACAGTTGTCTGCTCCCTGACTGAACATCTGTTCCTAGCGCACAAAGCAGCAAGAGCTCAGTATTTAGCTTTTAAGAGGTCCATCAGTTGGACTGCAGCTTGCACTCTCTAAAAAATAGGAGCAAAATAGACCCTCTTAAAACAGTTACAAGCAGCACAATGATAATGTCCCAAGCGAGTCTGAAAAACAAAATAAGAGGGAACACAACAAAAATCACTTTTTTTTCCTCCCAGCAACAAAAATTCAGAAGTGCTCTGACCCTCTTTCATCTGTACAAGACCATGGGAAATCAAACCCCTCCTCATTCTTCCTTCTGCTGCTATCAGAACAATTAAGAAAGAAATCACCAGCCCTCTTTATGGCCTTATAATTGAGGTTTTCACACACAAAATTGTCCTTCCTTCTTCCAAAGGCTGCTTCCCGCTTCATTTTTCTGTTGCTTCCCTTCAGCTGCAGGTTAGTCAGATTTTGGAAGATCAGTTAGCAGGGAACAAGAGAACACTGCCTTCTGAAGTTCCCCCTGGTGAAAATAACTTTCATAGTGGAATGTTAAAATATATTTATAAGAAACAGGCAAAATTATTATGCTTTTATATTGTATTAAATCTTTCTACATTGAACTTCACCTTTAACAACTGACAGGCAAATGTCCATCAAATAAGTACTGGAATTGGTAAGCCAACATAAAGTCTTTAAGGGTCCTATTAGATCCATAGATCTAACTGACAAAAGATGTTTCTAAGGATTTGTTTCTTCAGAAATTCAATGACCACTTTGAGCATCACATCTCCAAATTAAAACATAAACAACAAAAATGTAGGATCTCAAACCTCTACCTAAACGGGGTCCAAAACCAATCAACTGGAAAAAGTAAGCTATGCCTATTAACTACTGTATTTTTTTCATTATGGTAGCACCTAAAACCCTAATGAAAGGCCGGATGCCACTGCACTAGGAGTCATAAAGAGACTGAAAACAGAACAAAGTTAAGACTTAACAACCCATTTTAGTGAGCACTGTAAGGCTCAGAATAAAATCTAAAACCACCAGGTTCTAAGGACATGAAGTGCTAGAAAGAATAAAGGCAAGGGTCCACGGAGACATTTATTGCTGAAGGTGTACAAAACCTCCTTCTTCCGTGCAACTCAAGAATACGATACGACTGAGACCTGCTCTTTTCATTCCTGTACACCCGCAATAAAGACTTCCTGAGCAATAGCCATTGAGGGCTACGTTCACGCATTTATTGCTACAATTTAGTTACGGACTGCATCACTCAGTGGCTTTATCTGTCCATTTCTCTTCTGAGTATGTAACAACATCAGCTCTTAAGAGTAGTACCCTTTTAAGAACCCCTGGTTTCAGAGAGAAGACCAATTTTCTAATAGCGTAACTTCTCCACAGGAAAGAACCACACTAATAATGCAATGCTAGATTACTTGAGCCTGAAAATGTAGGTAATTGCAAGCTATTTTATTATTTTTTCGACCAGTCCTCAGGAACAGGGAGAAGGTTTACAGATGTGTGACACACACAACTATACGCTCCCCTCCTGATGATGAAAGGATGATAAACACATTGATTATTTCCAGATGCAAAAGCCAAAAATCGCCAGCCTATATCACATCACAATAATCAAATTACTTTTCATACAGGAGCAGCTCTGCTAATTTGGATTTTGCCACGTAACGTTTGGTGCAATTTTTTCCATTTGGAAGCAAAGTCACTCATGGAAAACTTTCTTCTGCTGCAGTCAGACAACTGACCATGACTATGGCAAGTGTTTCACACTAACTGCTGAATCCTGTCTGACCTCTTGATTATCGTGATCAAAACAGCTGCCAAGACCTCACTGTATCCTTTTATCCAATGAACTCAATGCCTTCTCTCCCAACAGTTCACTCCCTGAGCTGAATTCTCTTGGGGAAGCAGAGAATATACAGGCTATTTCCGAAATAGTCAAAACACAGTGAGATGCAAAGGCACATGCCTTGAAACACTGGGTATAAAACATGAATTCTAAATCACTGAAGCACATTAAGACCTGAATTGCTAATACAAACACCTGGATTCTTGCCTCTACCACTTCTTGTTTTCCATTACAGACGTGACCACCTGCTAACCTCATTCCAAAATGAGATCTCATGCCTGACAGCATACCTCCCTAGTCCTGGCGTTGTTCGTTGCAATCATCTGCTCATGTCTGTACTGAAATGTGTTGCTGTGCTTCAGCTTTTCCATACCCATAATCTTTATTGTGAATAGTCTAAGAAAAAGATGCATGAATTTTTCTCTATAACAAGAGCCATTGTCACCACTCCTATGAACCAAAGAAAAAATTGAGGGGAACATAAATAATGATGAAACAGTAATAACTGACAAGAAGAGGAAGGAATATGCCATCCATATACAAGAATATATGCTCCAAACATAGATCTATCCAAAGACAAACAACAAGGGTCTACCGAAGGCAAGGACAGACTATTCCAAAAATGGGAATACTAACACTATCTGTTTATAGTGTTACTTATAATACAGTGTTGATATGAGTTATTGTGTATTTATCCCTTAATTCTGCTTCTAGAAAAGGCAGAATAGGCCATTCTACTCTGAACCATCATTTGCCCCCTTACAGCATTTTTCCTGGCTCCTCACAGTTAATTATCAACTTCCAGATAAAATGTTTTGAGTCCATTGGTTGACAGTTTTCTTGCAAGTGCCTATTAACCATCCAAAATAGCCAGGGGGACTGGGAAACTGAAGTAAGACAAAGAAGCTCCAAACATGCTGCAATCTGGGCAGGCAAAACACATCCCATAATTAAAAAAATTTAGGCTGTACATACTTGAAACAGTCTCTAATCCCTGAATGGTATCCATTTTAACACGTTTCCTATAGAATTGATTCAAATTTGAACTTAAAAGGATACGGCAGAAGAGCTCCACAGCGAACAGACAAGATCACCCAGGAAGGCTGAAAAATAAAAACCACAAGACAATAAAAACCACAAGACATTAAAAACCTTGGTCTGCCTGTATGTAACATGAATTACCTTCCAAGTTCATACCATAGCTACTTTCAATACATATCTCCCAGCTTTGAAAGTCTAAGCGTTTCACAGACACTGTACTTAGGCCTTTACAAAAAAGACTGTTTCGACTTGTAGGAGTTAATACAAAGACTGCTCAAAGGTTGCGCAGCAATAGGAGAGCAAGACCCCTTTCTCTCGTCCTTCTATTGTGCCAGGAAAAATATTTATAGTATTTATTCATCCTCTCCCTTTTTTCACTTCTCCCTGCTCTAAAAAGCAAAACCAACCAAACAAAAAACCCTACAAAAACCCCACACCTTCCAGCCATCACCAAGGAGTCAGGAACTGTAACCTTACAGAGAAAGAAGTTCCTAAACACACAGCAATGCCAGCTGCTAAGCACACAGGTGATAGCCCCTAACTGACAGGATTCTGGGACAGGAGGGCTCAAAGGGAGAGAGGGAGGTGGTGGAAAATGGAGGAGATGTAGGACAATGGTCCCAAAACAGCATATAAGGAAGAAGAGGGAAAG